ACCCCTCGTCGTATTGATTGAGGTAACTCCGTCGAGGCATCTTCATCCCTGCCATTGCCCTCAAGGGCAAATTCCAGCCTGGTGTCAGAGTCGAGTTGGTGGCCGGAGCTATTCAGCCCCCTTGCAATCATACTGTGCAGCATTCAACCAAGCTCTCTCTCTCTCCTGGCCACAATCACCCCTTTGCGAAGAAGAAGAAACAGACGAAGATGAATGAGAGACGACGACGACGACGACGACGACGACGCTATGCTTCACCGACACCCGTCGAAGAAGGAAGGAAGGAAGGAGCCAACGAACGATGGTGAAGACGGACGGGACAGCGACAGATGGCGGACGGACGGATGAAGGGGGACGTGGACAGAGTTTCACTATCACCGGAGAAATCGTCCATCCTATGTGGGGTCCAGCCGTGCATGACGCAAACAGTGGGACCAAGGCCACAACTGCTCTGAAAGCGCAGTAATGAGCCCAAAAGCCGTGCATCAGGATTTGGGTGTCCTTGAGAAAGGAAGGAATGAATGTAAGGAATTGAATAATTGAGGGGAATAGCGCGAAGGAAGGAAGGGGTGGTGACGTGGAGGGGCTTCCGTTTCCACGTGTGATTGATTTGGATATGCTGGCGTGGCACCGCGAAGCACCACACTAAGACCAGGAAGGAAGAGAGAAAGAAAGAGAGAGAGAGAGCAAAAAGAAAAAAATTACATATTATAAATATAAATAAATTCTAGATTTATTTCTTTACAAACTTATTTGGTCGAGGGTCTCAAGTAAGTTTGTTAACTTATTTGGTCGAGGGTCTAATTAGTGCTAATATGGTGTGTGCTCTACAATGTGTGCTCAACAAAGTTTCCATTTACACACTCACACAAATTTTCACGCTTTTTTCTTTTTCTTTTTCTTATTCCAGCCTATTGGTGGATGGATGATACCCTTGCTGTCTCGCGTTCTCATCCACGGCTCGTCCACGCTGGCCCACGGGTCACATTGCACAGCTGTCGATGAATCGCCAGTGGTTTATATATTTGCTTATTTATTGATTGATTGATTTATTTACTGACATTTATAATCCGACGACGTGTTGGGAACTTCAGAGAACTTGACGCTCCCTTGGATTGATGGATGAATGGTTGGGCTGTCGAAAGCTCATCGGGCAGGATGAAAGTTATGCTAAGTAAGCAAAATGGTGGGTATATACATGCTTCTTGCTAAATACTTGTACTCTCTGTTGTATTGTTACGTAATACTACATACATACATACATACATACATACATAAATATATATGTATGATGTTTTCTCAGAATGTTCCATATATGTATGTATGTGCATATGTACGTATTTTTATCTCTTATCTTTTTAAAAAGATGTGATTATTTTTCATAAATCAAAAAATATATATACTTCATTCACACAAGGTCAAATTTTATGATTACATCTCATTTTTGAATGGGATTGTTAGAAATTAACAAGGTTTACAGCTTAACATTGATTATATATATATATATATATATATACATATATTCTCCTAAAACGTGGTTTGTTCTCATGATTTGAACAAATATACATATACATAGTCACATACATCTAATGCTCTTGAAGCCCAAAAACATTAAAAACATATAATAAAAAGTTGAAGTGCAAGATGGATTACATTGCCTTCAAAGTTGGCCAAAAGCCATTCCTCCTTCATTGGAATTAGGTTTGGAGAGTGAGTGTGTGTGTAAAGGATGTGAATGCAGTTGGGGATATTGTTTTGATAATGTATGGTATGGAGAAAGTACGTGGTGTGCTAATATTGAATAGTTGTGACTCCAATTCAATCTTCTTTCATGTGGAATAATGTGACCACTCATGGTACTTAGTACCACCATTGAGAGCACACATATAGAACATGGCCGGATTTTGCACGTACTCACCCCAATACAACCCAACACCTCAAATTTAATTTGAAGGGAATTATAGAAGAAGAGTTCATTTTCTATTTATTTGCAGCCACAAAAACCTTGTTTCTAATATGATTTGATGCATTTCAAAATGCACATTATCTATAATTAACTACACAAGAAAAAAGGAAGGGAAAAAGTAAAAAAAAGAAGCAAAACTACAACAACAATTGGTTCCAAATAGTAATATATATATATATATATATAATCAATTCAATAAAAAGAAATTATGTATTGAAGTTTTTGTATAATACATGTCTTATTGAAAGATATGAGGTGAGTATTTGTGTTTGGATGGATTCATATGGTTTTAGATTGGAATAAGTGTGTTTATAATTTTAATTTTTGCATCATGTTAGCATTTTATTTAAAAATTTAATAGTAAAAATATCATAGTAAATTCATTTATTAAAGAACTCATTGATAGATATATGATTAAAATCAAGTTTCAATGGCGAATGAATTTTATTCGTTTGATTTTTATTCAAGTTTCTAAAGCCATTTCTTGTCATGGATATAAAAGGCAAGGTTACTTTACACTAAAAAAAAACAAGGGGTTACAGTTTCAAACCTCAATGCTGATTTTATTTATTTATTGTATATCATGTAATTTGAAAATACTTATTTTATTGAAAGGACAGCATCCAATCTAGGTGCTTTTCAATGAAGTAATCAACAATTATATTACCTGAAGTTATGAATTAGAGGTGTTCAGCCTCATTGTTTTCATTTGTTTCTCTTTCTATGTATATCAAAAAGTGAACAAGGTGGAATTTGTAAAGAGAAAACCATCAAAACAACATAATAGTTATACTTTAAAAGATTAAAAACAATCATATGCAACATAAACATATAAAATTTAAATTTTGTAGGTAAGTAGTGTTGTTTTCTGTATATATATATATATATACATATATTTTTATGTAGATATACATATAAAGGAATTAAAATAAAAAGATATTATGAGTGCACATTACTAATTTTAGAAGTATACAATTTTGAATATAATTGCAAAACATAATTTACACAGAATGGATATATATATATATATATATATATATATATATTTATATATTAATGTGTACTTATCTTTATAATTTTAAAATTACATGAACAAAGCTTCAAAATAATTTTAATATTGATAAGGTTGTGATCATTTTATTTTTTGGATGTGCTCAAAGTGAACAAGGTGGAATTTTGATTTATGTTATAACTAAGTATTTATGTACCAGTAAAATATTAATATATATATATATATATATATACACACGCACACACACACATTTACCTTAAGCACTGAGTAATTAATTCTTTCCGAATGACATTTTGGAAATAATTAATTTGATTAATAAATTGTGTATGCAATGAAATAAACTTTAATCAACAGACTTAATTTGGATCTACATAAATGAATCCATTAGAAAATGTGTTTGTTTTACTTCATTCAAGTAAAATTTGATACTCTCAGTATCACACATTTGGAAGTGTTTTACAAAATAATTTATTATTCTTATTATAAATACATTTATAAACATAAATTCTTACATTCATATATATATATATATATATATTAGTTTTTATTACAATTCCTTCTTCATAATATTTAATTATATTAATCTAATAAATTTATATAAATATAAGATTACTGTGTGTTTTTGAAACAATTTAATATCTTAAGCACAAAGACAGAAAAACTTAAGTCCTCAATGAAGAATAAGTATATAATATTCATTAAAAAAAAATGTTATGAATGCCTTATTGAACCAATCTCATCCAGATTACATGGTCCACAGGTTTGGGTTTGTTTATAGTTTTCTATGCCAGGAAGTAGTTGCTCATGAATGCTAGATTTCATGATTAAGCCCCATGGGGCATGAGCCTTTGAGCTTAGGGAACTGGGGCCGTGCTTAATATTTTCCCTTGGTAATTGAGATTAAGGGCCCTGTAACTGCTTGTGAATACAACTATAACCTGGCATCCAAAGCCTGACCCACAATCTTAAGGGCAAATTCCCCCTTGTACACACTGAGCTGCAAGTCACCCACCAGGCCTTGAGTGATTGAATGAGTACCCAGGAGATGCCTCAAAAAGACACAATAGATACCATTGTACGCAGGAATTAGTGTACAAAAGCACACACAACTGAGTTGTAGAAATAGGGCTGTCCAACTCCACCTAATGGAATGCAGCGGGACATCCAACACAGTAGTAGTAGTACCTTGCTGCTGCTGGCTCCAAACTCAAGCCTAGTCCACAGAAACACACAACCGTAGAGTTGGGCTATACAACCAACTCGCAACCCAGTATTGCAAGATAATGTTGCAGTGAATTGTCATCAACGCAGGTCTCTCAAAGGCTGTTCAGTGAGTGAGCTCCTGGTTGTTCCAAAGCCCTGGTCAAAATGATTAAGACTAGCCCACCTGTGCACGCCAATTCACAACACTAAGCTGGTTATTATGAGATAGATATCTTCTAAAGCTTGTTTTGCACTCAACCAAGGCTTTCTATTTTTGTGACACGGGAATAACAAGGGTCTCTTTACTATCTTTACGAAAACAAGAAGTAATGCAAATGACTGATAAAAATACTAGCTCCGAAAAGGTTTCACGAGAACTATTGATGCTGAGTGATTCCAAACTCATGGAAAAGGTATGAAAGAAATGTAGCCAACCTAATTCACAACTGGCTTTACCTCGCGAAAATACTCTTTCAGGCCTTTTTGTTTGTTTGTTTGTTTTTGTTATTTTTTGTTTTGTTTTGTTTTTGTTTTGTTTTGTTTTTGTTTTTTGTTTTGTTTTGTTTTTGTTTTGTTTTTGTTTTGTTTTGTTTGTTTGTTTGTTTGTTTGTTTGTTTGTTTGTTTTTTTTTTTCAATCTTCCTTGTACGTAGGCCACTAAAGTGGAAAACATGATGTTTAATGAGTTGGTCTCCTAGTACTACTTACTTGTATCACTCTGGATAGTCCTACAAAAAGAATTCCCTCAACTAAAAGTATTCAATACTTAAAGCATCTCAGCATCCTCCTTCACGTGAATATACAATTTCAACCGAAACCATTGAACAAGATAATGCCTCTCAATCATATTCGCTTCAAATGCCCTTTCAAAAGTATCTACATTCTGCATAAATATGCCAACTCATTGTTGATGTATCGCACCGAAATGAAATCAAATATTAAGTGATTTCAAAACATGGAGGCGATTTAATTCAATCAACGTGGAGTACTTATCTATTCCGATTCGTAGTCAGAGACTCGTACATTTCCTGCAGGTCAATAACAAAAGATTGAAATAGATTGACTTGAAACACAACTAAACATTCAGCCTTAAACAGCATCCTAAAAGCGGTTTCTGCGAGGTCGCGAAACTAGTTATCGAGAAGTTACAAGTGACCTGCTATCAGTTGACGAAGGACTGACTGAAACAGACCTCCGCTTTTAATCACGTCATTCATAAACCCTTCAATACCAACGCACATATGCTGCTGAAGAAGATCTCAAAGGGTAGAAGCAGTAGGAACCATCAAAGCTCGAGCGGCTCCTCTAACAGTAGTTCGCCTACGTCCAACATGTGCTATAGCATAGAGCCGGTCCTCCTCCAGCTGTACATAGATCTGACACATAAAAGATGCATCTCAGGTGTCACTTGGTTTCCTCATCCAAGCCATATCTCGGCACACAACGTATCCATTTGGGTTCTTTCACAAAGCATAGTTTCTGAGAAGACAACCGACCTAATTGATGATAATGCACAAAAAATCATTGATGATGCAGATTCACCCACTCACCGATGTCCCTAAACGAACAGATAAGACATCAGTCATCAGCTCAAATCTAACAGCAAATCGTCGAAAAGCTTTCTTACCAGAATCTGGCCAGGAACTTCCTCTGATTCATCGATTCTTCTGCAATAGCAAGATGGACAAGAAGGGATCTCTTCCTGTACGAAGGATAGTTATAGATCATCTTGAACAATCATTTGTGCTAGTCTTTCACAATAAATGAGCTCCACGCTAAGAGTGTCAAACAGCTCTAGTAGTGCAGCTCATCCAAGTCGCTGAACTTCTAATTCAATATCACAAAATGCGTCCTGCATCGATCCACATAGAACACTGTCAAAATAATTCAGATAATTTAAGTCAACTCTGTTCTACTCCACATAACTACCTCGCAGCAACGAGATTGTCCAGAAAAGAGCACATGGGTCAAGAATATTATATTTTCTTTGCTATTAAGGATCGGCACTCAGGCTCTAGTTGCGTCATGATGATAAAGTCCAGAAGAAGAACTGTAAGGTTGCAGAATTCGAACTCTACAGACCAAGGTTATGGTTAAGGACAGAAAGTATGTCCTACATTACCAAATTATCAATTGACCGCCCGTCTATCTTACACCGCCATACTAGTTGCAAGACTCTGAAGAAATCGACAAAGGTGTCGAATCTACCTGAGCAGTGTGCTCTTTTCCGAAGACTGCGTGAAGCAGACCCGTAACCAGGAGGTGAAGCTCCACAACATTACTTTCTGAAAGACGAGCTTTTCGCTTCTGGTGCTCTTTACGGTCCAAATCCATTCTAATTAGCTATCACCAACAAGAAATTTAAAAATAAAAATAAAAATGCATTCAGGACTTCGTTTCATCTCATGATTATCTCTCGTTTATCTCTTCTTCGTCTTATCTTCCGGCAAACCAGAGAAGATCTCCAATTGCTTGCACCACTTCGCGGCAACAAACTTTCTCCTCTACTTCAATTCATCAAACAGAATTACCTGGCACGAAAGCTACCTTAACAACGAGTCATGTCATGAAACATTTCAAAAAGCGATCAAAAAGCAAAAAAGTAAAATAAATAAAAGAATTGGCACACGCACGCGCGACTCTGAAGCTCAAATCACATTCGAAGCTGTAGCCTGTTGACAAAACCTCCAACCGTGACCTAAAAAAAGCAGAGCAAAGATCTTCAAAATCCTTCCGCACACACCTCGGCTTCTTTCACAAATTCAATCACGCACACATGTAAATAAATCGGTGGACAAATCACCTGTCTGTCTGTCTGTCTGTCTGTCTGTCTGTCTAGATAGACTTTAAGGCGATGCGAACCCTAAGAATATGGTGCTACGATTTCTTTCACAAGCCATGGCGAGGAGGCTGCGATTTGGATTGCGAGGAAGAGGTGACGACGAGGAAGAAAATGAGCACGCCTTTGTTTGTTTGTATGAATTCATTTAAGCCCCTTTCGATGCTTTTCGAGCCCCTTCGCCCTTCATTTCAGAACATTTCTGGTATTAAAAAAAGATTCTTTGGACAAAAAATGTTGATAATGTAAAATATATAAAAAATTTGTGTAAGAAAAATTCTAATATCTATATATATATATATATATATATATATATAATATTATTAGATATACTACTACATATGATGTTTGGATAGTAAATAATTGTCTTTGTAAAACAAGAACTACAAGCATTGGTTAATACATAATTATTTTATAGTTTGTAGTTATTATATCAAAATTAGTTCTTGAATTTCTAAGATTATATCAAAAGAAGCTTTTAATGCATTTTCAATACCTAAATTTTATTTTTATTTTTAAAAAAACTCAAGATTACTACAAAGTTGATGTCCATCCACATCTAGTTTAATACATAAAAGACAATCCTTGCACATATCTTCTAGCATTTCTTCTAATATTGCTAATATGTTTTACATTCAATTAGTCTAATGTGCATCATGTAGATTATCATAGGCACATCATCCAGATTTTATTTTTGTATGGCAGCCAATATTGTAAGTTACAAGAGTGTTTTAAAGTGAAAAGTCATAAAAGTAGAGTCTTAATACATTAAATAGGATTTAGAGTCTTAATTAGTTTTATAAAATCAAAAAGGTTAATCAAAACTTGAAGAAGTTAAGATGATATTAAAAGAATTTTTTGCTAAATTAAAAAAAGTTTGTTTTTTTGTTATTTTTTAAAATAAATAAAATTAAAATAAAAAATATTAGAATTTAAACTTCTAAATTCTTAAAATTAATAAAGATTAGTTGGAGTTATTTTAAATTTCTAACATATATATATAGCAACCAAATTTACATGAAAATTATCACATTTATAATAAAATTCAATTTTATTCAATTTTATTCAATTTTTGTATAAAGAAGGATTATAATAATCATCTTCATACAAAAATAAAAATAAATTTAAAAATAGGTCATAAACTATCAAATTGTTAAATGAACTCGAATTAAATTAAAATTTTTTAAATAATAAATAATAAAAAATCTCTACAAAAAAGAAGATTAAGTTTTTTAAATGTTGGAATAGATAAATTAAACAAATCCAAATCCAAAGAATAGAGGAATAAATTAGTAAGCATAGAATTTGACAAAGGTCCAAGAAGTAGGATTGAAGTAAAATAACAATTGAAAATAATAACATCAGACTTGTCAATAAAGAATATTGAATTTTCAATAAAAAAACAAATTTTTGTAAAATAGCACTCCAACATGCATAAGTATCAAATTTAGTTTATATGAAAAAATTCTAAAATTAAAATAATATTAAGTAGAATTTAAGAATCAATATTTTTACATAGTGAATGGATTTAAAATCCCAATATTATTTTTAAACACAACAACATTCCAGTATTAGTTTTTTATATAAGAAATGATAAATATTATATAAGAAATTAATAATAAAAATAATAAATAATAATTTAATTATTTTAAAAAATTATATTAAATACCATATATATATATATATATATATATATATATATATATTCACAATGTTACTAGCAAATGGTTTTAGAATAAGTCATCTTTTTAATTTGTCCTCATACTATTAAAATCTCTTAATCTGTAAATTATTTGTAGTTGCCACTTTTTGCTTCCAACTTGTAGTAGATTGCAATTAAAGTTTGTTACTAGCCACTTGATTGGTTTGTTGTTCAACTTAGGCTTCAAACCTTGAGATATTTATCGTTGATCTATTAAGAAAGTATCCTAAAAATACTCCATCAACATACAACAATCTATCTGTGGTATTTGAACATTTGAAATTAAGTCAAAGGTTATTAACTGTGATATTGACAACACAATTGATGTCAATTTCTTTATGGGATGAATTTGAGTCTATTTCTTAATAAGGTCATCTTGATTAGATGCAATTTTAGGATTGTTTATAACATGGTGTATGCTACTTTTATGAGCTCATATCATATAGTAATTTTATAATACCAACATACACAAGAATTTTGGCATAGTAATGACTACCACTGATAGCCACAAGTTTATAAGCTAATGCAATAAATAGCTTTGTTGGATTTACAATCATCACAAGGATAAATTAAGCAAGACAAATCAATTAAATAAGCAGTCGACAAAATGTACTTGGATTAGGAAGTTGTTTAATGAAAGTTCAGTGGATTAGATAGATTACAACGTGAACCAAAGTATTTGATAAGAGTATCTTTAATGTCGAGTTGATTTGGTGCATGAAATTACAATGAGATTACATTGATGGTTTAGATTAATAGTACTTTGATTTACATGTATTTTTTGGTAAAGATTTGTGCCTTGGCTTAATTTATAAAGTCTAGTGTTTTATTGAGTTGCTAGGCAGTTGTTAAATTAGGTTCTATACATTGCTCTCATTAGTGCAAGTAATACTATTGTTGAAATAGTGTCACGGACATATACATGTAAGCCAATAATTACCTTTATAAATAAGTAGAAGTAAATAGAAGTAGGTAAAAGTAAGTTAATTCTATAATATCTTCTAAAGAAGCTTCTTAAAAGCTTCAAAGACGTTGCTTTGACTTTATAGGTGTCCATTGTTGAATTTTAGGTTAGAAACTTGGTCAACAAGTTAATCATATACCACACATGTTGGTAGCTTGAAGAACAAGCTAACTATGTGGTATATATATATATAGAAAAACTTGCCTTGTAAGTCAAGGCATGAGTCCTACAAAGTCAACACATATTAGAGGTTTTATAGAACATCGCCACATAGCCCCTAGTTAGATAGTATATATAGAGACAAGAGTGAAGCCCTCTTCATTCTTATCAATTCTTTTCTTGCTTGTAGTCCAATTTCAAGAGTTTCAAGTTTTCTTGTCTTTTGGCAATAAGCCATTCTAATTTCTTTTAAATATACGTATTTCCTTATTTTTATTTTTCCACTTTTTCTTTAATATAGATTTTATTCGTTTATGCATCATCTTCCAATTCATATCCTTGACAGATTGGCAAGAATATAATTACAATATCAAAGCTTTATCTTGTCTTGATTAAAAGTGGATTACACCTTTCTCATGATAAGACATAAGCCTATTAGAAGTTGCCAATTATTCTCTTCTAAATTGATATTATTCTTAGTATTTTCTTTGTCTTCAAGTCCTTTCTTCTCATTGTCTTGAATAGTATTAGATATTTTTTTAAGTGTTATTATAACAAAGCTTATTGAAATGAAGAGTGCAATAGCACAAATGTAAGAACAATTGAAGAAGTTGATGCTTGCTATATATCAACTTAGCTTACCCTCTATAAAGATCAATAAGAATGACAAGAAGTGAAGATATAGAGATAATTAGAGCTACTTTAATAACTACACCAAATCATATCCCTTCATCCATGATGGAACATCCTTCAAGTGTTAGAGAACCAATAGTTATCTTATTCAAGAAGTTTGATGGTACAAGATCAAAATTTTGAGGATTTATCAATCAAGTATAACTTGTGATTGAATTTAAACCTCAAAGCTATCCAATTCCAAGATCACAAGTTAGATTCATTGATACACTTCTTTCAGGTTTAGGACTATTGTAGTTTTTATCTTTTTTTGAATGATAAGATCCAATATTGGATAATATGGAGGCATTTTTGGCAAAATTTTGGTCTATGTATGGAAACCATGATACTACTCATGTTGCAACCAATAAGATTTGTATTTAGCAACAATGCAATCAATTTGTAACATTATATGCTTCACAATTTTGACAACTTGCAACTGATATCTAGTGGAATAATGCTACACTTATTAGCCAATTTTTCTATGGATTACAATATGAAGTAAAGAAATTGATGCTCAACTTACCTGATTCTTAAACATTGAGTTAAGTAATTGACTTTGTTGAGAAGTAAGACAATTGAATTTTTAAATTTTGATCTGAGAGTCGTACAGATAGGCTCCAACATTACTACAATTCGATGATAAGACTAACATCTCTTCAGCACATATATTCAGAAGTAGAGGATATGCAAATTGATGTGATATGTTTTAAACCTCTTATCAAGCAAGAAAAGACTTGTTGCTATCGAGAAGAATTATACTTATATTATGGAGAATCTAAACTTACTGGTTAACATTATCTGAAGAAGCGACCAAACCACAAAATGATGACAACAACTATCAAAGAAGATAATGTATTGGAAAACAAATTTGTCGAGCTACAATTGGGACCATGTGGCTAGAATCTTGTACAATTTCTAATGAAGGTTATATCCTCTCCTCAAAACCTTCTTCTTATTTTATAATAGATATGCATTTAAGACCTAATAATTATAAAGCCTCCACCTTGATAGATTCAAGAGCCTCAGCTTATTTCTTAGACGTAGAATTTGTTAAAAGTCATAAAATATCATTAGTACAAAAAACTAAACTTGTTCATATAGAAGTCATAGATGGTTGTCCATTGTCTTCTGGAGATGTTACATTTATAAGTCCAAAAGGCATGATATTTTAGATTTATCATAGTTAAAAAAGTATAATCCTTAGATAGATTGGATTTCTTGTATTCTTGACTTCTCTAAAAATATAACTAAGAATGAAATTAATCTAGTAGAAAGTCATAAGTCTAGTACAATAAAACTTAAGTTTGTAGGTATGAGATCTTTCTTGGATGTTGCAAAAGAAGGATCACCATATGTCATTTACGCCATACTTATTTCTAATGATGCAAAGACTTCAAGTGGCATTTGAAGCCAATATCAAGAGTTTTAAGATGTATTTGAGAAGAAAAATGTAGATATTCTTCTAGGATATCATCTCTATGACTACTCAATTGAACTTCAAGAAAGAACACAACTACCATTTAGACCAGTCTATAGTTTATCATAAAATGAATTGGCTGAATTCAAGGAATATATTGAAGAGAATTTAGCCAAGAATTTTATACGTCATTTTTAATTACTAAT